TTGACGAGGATGGTATGGAGGTGTCCCAGGACGAAGGGTTCGTCGTCATCGATCTTGAGCAACTTGGCAGGGAGGAAGTCATGGCCGGATGGCTTCCAGTTCTTGAGGCCTTTCGTTGCCCGTGCCACCTCCTCGAGTTCTGGCACATCTCCCAACCGTTGAGTGTCACGTGTCGCTGACCGCTGCGTCACTCGTTCGATGATGTCTGGGTTCAGGGTGGGGGATTTGGTGTTGAAAATGAGAATCTCGCCCACCGCTGTAGGATGTCGTCCCTGTTCCGGAGCAACACGCCGTTCTCATCCGCGACGAACTGCTGTCCCCCCGCTTGTCTCCCGCTGAGGCCCACTGATCTCTTGAGGTGTTGGTACAGTCCTCGCATGTCGCGATCTTTGTAGATTTCTTCGAGTTCAGTCACATATCCGTCCAGGTGGGCATAAATGCCCGTTTCGACTGCTGTAGCCACTCCCTTACACGCTGCTTTGAGAACCCTCCACGTCGCTGAGTTCCAGTTGCCCCTCATCGCCCGGCGCGCTTCCCGACGTTTGGTAAGGGCCTGCTCCAGCGCTCTTCGCGTCTCTGGGGTCTCACACCACTCCTGCGTGCGGCGTCTCCGCGGTTCCTCCCCCAGGGTCGTCCGCGCTGCGTCGAGGAGAGCATTGGTCAAGTCGGTCGCCAATTCCGCGGCGGTGGTTGTTCGCTCGTCCAGTCGTGTGTCGAGGTTGAGGGGGAACCGACTAGTCACCGCTCACCGTGCTGCTTCGAACTACCATTCCCGACGGTTGAATTGCTTCTGTTTCGGTTTAGTCCGGACTGAACGGTTGTGGGCAAGCCTGCCACCGAGGTTGACGGTGGCTACTACCATATTGTGGTCTGAGTCTGTTTTGACTGGGCGAACCGGCTGGGGGATGACGACCACGTTAGATACTCGGCCGTGATGTGCCTGCCTTGTCAGGATGTAGTCAAGGCGCTTGCAATCGTTTCCCGACACACCGTTGTATGTGTGCCATATTCCGCCCTTGCGTGTCTCAAAGAACGTGTTCGTGAGAGCTAGCCTGTTTTCCGTTGCGAAGTTCAACAGTAGCATGCCATTGTCGTTGAGCTCATCACGCCCGTACATTCCTATTACCCTTCCGTCCCCTCCGTCCAACCTATCTCCCGTCCGCGCGTTGGCGTCCAGTAGGACATACACACATTCTTTGGAAGGGATCCTCCGCACGAGACTGTCAAGTTTTCCCCAGAACACGCGCTTGCTGTCGGCGGTTGAAGGTTCGGTTGGAGCACACGCGGCTACGAAGAAGTTGACCGCTCCACGGTGGCCTGCCAACAGAAACCTCATGGCCACAAGGCGTTCGTCAATAAACTCCGTAGTGAACGTGGATGTCTTGCACAGTGACTCTTTGACGGCTATCCCCACACCATGGACTCCACCAGTCTCCGTGCCACAGCAGAACACCCGATAACCCGCTGCTGCAAAATTCGGTTCGACCTGCCCTCCGTGTCTCCTGCATTCCTACCACCGATACGTCTTGTCTCGATGCCTCGTGTAGAACGCTGTAAGCTCGCCCGTATCCATTGGCCCCGTTTACAGCCAAAGTCCGCACATTCCAGGTTGCTACCCTAAGAAGTTGCCCCTGCTGGCTCTTTCGCGCGGCGCGCGCTGCTCTCTTAGCTAGCCTACGCGACGCCCGACCCCTCCCGTTCCTCCATCTTACCCTCTTTTTTGTTTTTTTACTATTTTCTTGCGAACACTCGGGCTAACGTGACAGCAGTTATCCCGGTTCTTGCCTATTTCCCATAGACTTTTCTTGTCCCGGAGCGGTGTGGCCCTCCATCTCTGGACTCTCTCCTTTCCTCCCTCTGGGGCATACGCCCACGGCGTGCGGCCACTCCGCCACCCTCACCGTGCTCTCTGCTGCTGCGTAGCCCCGGTGTCCAAGCCGGGGCGTCAGGATCTAGTCTCATTTTACACCTACCAAAGCTGGCGGCTCACACTCACTGTGGGTGTTTCTTATCGACTGAAAAAACACTGAATATTTCACGGAACCGTTTTTCTCGAACACATACGGAGGCGTTTTTCCCCGAAAACGTGAAAAGAGGCAGCCGGGATTTTTTGGGGCTTGCTCCTTTCACGGTTCCGGGGAAAAACGCCCCGCTTTTTCCGGGCAGCCGAAGCAGACACCGGTCACGCGTGCTGCCTTCATCACACCACACCTAGACAGCACCCACAACACCCCAAAAAGCTTCCCACGGCAAGTCGACCACCATGGCTGAGCGCGGGAAGCGCCAGGATCCCACAGACCCCGCAGCGCAACGCCGGGAGAAGCGCCGTCGACGAGCTATCGACGAGGAGAATGCAGCCCAGGAAGACAAGAGATTCACGGTCCTGGGTCTTAGTGGCGGCGGGCGTCGTGGCAGCAGGAGAAGCTCATCGTGCCCACTACCCTCAGGAACGGGAGCCCATCTACGAGCCCAAGCGACTTCCTTGGGCCCAACACGAGGCGGACCTCGATAAACGGCGCGGCTGGCGGCGGTCGTACCGCATGGAGAAAGGCAGTTTCCACAAGCTCGTCGAGCTACTCCGCCCTTCGCTGGAAGTCAACGCCTTCTTCGGCGGTGAGTGTTGATGCGTAGATGCAGCCGCCCACGACACGTATGCGTAAGGCTCTCTCTGGTGTATAGATATGTAGAACCGGGGACGAGCAACTCAAAACCAAGGGAGAAACGATATTACAGCTGTAGAATACTGTACTGCTGTATGTTCCTGCTGTCTTTTTCAAAAATCAAAACTAGCTCGTCGAAGTAGCAGTACATGCAGGAACATACAGCAGTGCCGCAGCATATCTCGTCTACAGTACTGCTGTAGTATGCATATTGTACAGCAGTGCGACGCTGACTACCGTACAGCAGTAATAGTTAATCACAATACACGCCGGCACCACTAAAGCAAAATACGTGCCTCGTCGGGAGCCAATGCAGAATGCCGTATCCCCCGCAATGATACAACAGCATTCGACACTGCTCCTCATGGGCAAGATATCGTGTGTGTAGTAGGTGATTAACACAGAGCCGTCTCAGAACTGTAGTCGGGAGGTGGACTGGGCCGGCAATCTGACGGGTTTGTCGAGAACATGCGTCCCCCGTCATAGGTTGCTAATTAGGTGCTGGCGATTGAAAACATACCACCTCTGACACTCGTATGACCTGCAAAAATTATCTGCGCGTCGCTCTGAAACCCCACAGCACTGCGATCGCCACGCAACGGCGCCATATCTGTGGAAGTTCGCGTTGCCGTGGCGTTGAGGATTCTGGCTGGCGCCAGTTACTGGGATGGATGTCCTAGTCATGTTTGGCTTGTCGGTGGCGGTCACATACCAGATCTTGTGGGAGGTGATCGATGCCATCAACAACACGCCTGCGGTTGGGGCATTTGACTTCCCCCTGACCGAGGAAGGCTGTATGCGAAACGCCAACAGATTCAAGGTGAGGCGTAGCGGTGGTCAGTACTGCTGCTGTGAGGGTCGTTCTTGGCGGCATTTTTTCGACCAACCGCGCGATATCGTTCTTTTTTGTTTTGTACGACTGGCGTTTCCAGCCGTTTTATCCGTGGAATGAGGCCCATCTATAGTACGCGGCCCCCGTCGGTAAAATGCGGGTACAAGTTCGGATTGTCGTCGTTGTCAGCATGCTTCGAATCGAAAAACACCCCCGGGATCCCAGGTGGTTCGCCAGCTTTTGGCATCCTTTTTCAAATAGGTGTTACTATACTGTCATCAATTGTGGATGCTGACCATGTTGGTTCGGCCCCGCAACAGCTTTCTGCGAGACAAGAGTGTGGAATCAATGTACTGCAGTCCCCTTCGTCTCTAAGATGCCCTGGTACCTTTTTACCGCTGTACCTGACGCGACATTAGCATCAGCAAACAACATCAAGTCTCAGCTTACACGGTATGCGCTCCGTTCGATGCTAGTGATGGCGCCGTCGCTGATGACACCAACCCACACGACGTATCTCTCGACTTATTATTTTGTCTCTCCCGGTACTACTTTCCCGCCGTCGTGTCTGCCGTCTACAAATGCAGGACAAGAGCACCGATGGCATTTTTTCGTGGGTCGTCGCCGCCGTGGATGGTCTGTTCATCAAGGCCGAGGCTCCGCGTGCGAAAGAGACCAAAAATGTCATCGCGTACTACCCTGGCAGCAAGTCCGCGTACGGCATCAACGTGCAAGCGATGTGCACCGCCGACTACCGGTTCTGCGCAATGTCGGCGATCTCTCCAGGCTCGACGAACGACTGGGTGGCATGGACTCGATCTTCCCTCGCCAAGGCCGTCGCCCGCTTGCCCGCCGGATTTCACATCATTGGTGACGCCGCCTACCCCATCGGAGAAAAGCTTCTAACTCCGTACCCTGGGAGGCAACTGCCGGCGGGCGAGGACTCGTTCAACTTCCACCTGAGCCAGCTTCGTGTTAAGATCGAGCAGAGCTTCGGCATCCTGGTTTCGACTTGGGGCATTCTGTGGAGACCTCTCCGCGTGCAGCTCGGAGGACGCGCGGATCTCATCACAGCTCTTTTTCATCTGCACAACTTCCTGCAAGACGAGAAGGTAGCGCCGATCCAGCTTTCAGAGGAGGACTCCCGCAGCGGACTCAACCGGCCGGCCCTCTGTGCCACCCAGCGCACCTTGCCGGATGGCTGGGGAACGGAGCCGGCTCCTTCGAGGAGCGGTGAGACCCCGGCCCGAGCGGCTATCCGCAAGGCCCTGGAGTTAAAGAAGCAGTGGAGGCCGGACTACAACCACCAGAGGAATTCGTAAGGACGTATCCAGCTCTGGCGGCATCGCGTGGCGGGCGCACGAGGGGGGAGTGGGGACGGGTCTACATAGGTGCGGATGGAGTCGGATGGGGGGAAGGTCGCTACTACGAGCGGGCGAGAGGCGCGGCGGGGGGGGAAGGGGGCGCGGGGGGGGTGGGGGTGCACGAGGAGGCTATTCTGGCCGTCGTGGGAACACTAAAAGGGCGGGTTAGGGTTCGGGGCTACATAGGCGGATGGCGGCAGAAGTAGGCTCGCTGCCTCGAGGTGGCGGGTCTCGCTTCCACGGTAGGATGAGACGCGCGGGAGGAGGGTTCCTCGTTGTGAAGGGCGGAGGGCGCTGGACGGAAGCGTTTTTGGTGTTGGTAAGAGGGTGTGATGTGTGGCATGTTGATCCTCGCTGCCATGTTTTGTGGGTGTCGATGTTAAGCGTTATGGCCATGAGTTTCCGGGTACACGTGGTTCATAATGTGCCGGTGCGTGGGTCTTGGTTATGTGTATGTTGGCGCCGGGTTGACATGAATCGTGTTCGGACGAGACCGGGGCACGGTAGGTCTAGGAGGCTGCTTGTTTTGGGTAGTGCATGAAAAGCGTGGGCATGTTCGTTTTTTTTTTCCCAGTTAGGATCGTATGAATCGTAAGCGTTGTTGTTGTCGATATTGTATCTGCATTGAATTGGTTGTGCAGGGTTATTACAAGTACAAAAAATCTCGGTTTGCAGCACGCCAGACGAAACCGCGATGGTCGCAACAAGCTCCTTATGGTATCTATCATGTAACCTAAGTTTCTTCGCGTGGGTAAAACATTGCTCCAGGTTGCAAACCTGAAGGGGACGCACACACACCCACGAAGAATTGGGGTCTTTTCGAGTCCCATCGCCAACACATTCCTGCGCTTGGAGTGAGCATGCGCGGAGACGGCGTAAATTGCAGGGCTCCAAAAAGGTGGAACCCAAAGCGTGCCTCAGAGTTACCGCCAACACCCAACGTAGTATTGGGTTGCAAGAACAAGTCTTGCGAGCTGGCAAACACCAAACGACATGCATGTACGCAGGTTGGAGGCGCAGAAACTCGCCCGTGAACCACAACGGTCTCGGTGTTGTTCAACCATGTTACCCTTGATACTCCTTTGTTGCCGTAAGGCATCCTCTTAATTGTTGTTGCCAACCAAACCCACACGTCTTTGCGGAGGCGCACGTATCCTCCACGGCGATGCTGCGAAAAAACGAAGACGTTGACTCAACCATGCGCAAACAAAAACACTAGCCCCCCCCCTCCGAAACTACAACACAAAAAAAATAGCCACGGCCCTCGCAACAAGCAAGCCTTGCCGTGAGAGTGGAAAAAAAAAAACACCCTCGTGTTCGTTTACTGTCGGCACAGCAGCTTGCCCGTGGACCACAACGGTCTCGGCGTTCTTCAATCACATGTTATCCTTCGTACTCCTTTGTTGCCGCAAGGCATCCTCTCAATTGTTGTTGCCAACCAAACCCACACGTCTTTGCATAGTCGCACGTATCCTCGGTGCTTAACGCTACGAAAAACAATGGTGACTCATGCATAACAGGAGCACACGCCCACACGCTTCCACTTCGACGATTGCACGGAAGTAAGTCCAGCAGTGCATGTGGGTGTTATTGGCCGCCAAACATATCCTTCTCGAGCTTTGCTACCATTTCTTCCATGAATTTTACTCTCGTCTGGTAACCCGANGCTTCCACTTCGACGATTGCACGGAAGCAAGTCCAGCAGTGCATGTGGGTGTTATTGGCCTCCAAACATCTCCTTCTCGAGCTTTGCTACCATTTGTTCCATGAATTTTACTCTCGTCTGGTAACCCGGCCGCTTTTTTTCCTTCTCTTCCACAATCTGCTCCGAATATTTCTGGTGGTCGGCGCACATTGCTTTCTGCAGAGCGTATTCAGCAGCCTTGGTATCGAGGGCAGTAGACTTGCTTTCCTCTTCCTCTTGTTTCAGTCGTCACTCAGATTTCTCCGATCTGCCACGTGGCAGGAGCGGCTCAATATCTAAGAGTGCGGTTTTCATGGCAACGGACGTAGCCTCTTCCACGCTCTGCCTTCCCCCCTTTTTTTTCTGCTTCGTCCCCCGCCTGTTCTGGTCGTAGAGCCTCGCGCCCTCCCGCTTGACGGCCGCCCGGCGCTCGGCACCGCCTGTACAGCCATCGCCCTCTCCGGTCCCGTCGTCCTCTCGCTGAGCGTCCTCCGGGAAGAGATTGTTGCACACTTGGTCAAGCTCGGGGTATTTCTCGATTGCGCAACCGAGAATGTACGTGTCCGTGTCCCCTGTAAAAAAAAAGAAGCGCAAAGCGCGGGCGGGAAGTGGTCTGTATGGAGCAATTGGTAAGGTGTTTGGTCTTGCTTCAAAATACAAAATAAAAGTTCATGGTGCAGACAATACTTTTCAATCAGGCCTCAAGGTGGACGTCATCCCGGAAGTACGTTTTACAACACTGTCGACAACTCCAAGTGCGATATCAAAACTCCGACCGTAGCAGCACTTACACGCTGAAGTAGGATCGGCACAATTGACGCCACGGCCACAAAATCGCCCAAGGTTCCTGGAGAAAACAGACGCTGTTTTATTCCCAGCCCTACGTCACCCATCTCTTACCTTGGCAAAATGAAAGCCGTGGCTGGTTGTTGCCGGATTCACTCTTCTTCCAGTTGGCATTAGGCGTGTTCCATTTCGCCTTTGCCGCAGACCACATTTTGGTGATCTTTTCCGCCGAGATGTTAGGTTGCTGGATGATGTTCGGGTTGACGTGACTCACTTGTTCGTCGTCCACGATTTTTCTCACCTGAAAAACGTCCACAGCACCCATAGGTCAGGCATACAGCGAAGGAGCGAGGGAAGGGGCAACGCAGATCATACACCTGTTCTTTATACCTACCTACAAAGATGACGCCCCCCGGACGTGCGAGGAATTTATGTCGATTTCGATACGAAAAAAAAGAAGAACGGGGGGAATGCACCTCTCTTGCGGGAAGGGCCAATGTCGGTCTGTTCCCGGCCTGTTTTTTTCTTCTGGCATAAAATATTGTCTGGCTGTCTGTGCGTTATTTTGAAAATTTCAGTGCGTTTTCAATGTCTTTGACTATAATAGGCAACGAAGCAACTACAGCAGTATCTACAGCAGTATGGTCGTCGGCGTCCGCAACAACTACATATTATTAAGTTACCGGTAGACGTCAACAGCAGGTTGACCCGCTCTTGGGATTGGATACCTAATGGCATTTTACCTAAAACGATGGCGCGATCGTCCGTGGACGTTTTGAGGTGTTGAGCACCATGCCTAAAAATATCAATATACGGCATGTGTTGTCAACATACACTTCGACTGCTGTTTTTGTAAAACGTTCTCGTCCGATCCGTACTAATCAACCCCCTACCCCCAGAACGCACATTGTGGCGAGGGTCTCGGAGGAAGCGGTCGGTGACCTCTGTCCACAAATGTTTCCGCGGCCCAACTGCTGAGGTGTCCAGCTCCTGCCGGGTCGCCTGCAAGCGGCTGTTGATGACAAGTGGGCGGATGGAGTCTTCGCACAGGATCCCAACGAGCCGCATCATGCAGTGTGGGCCCTTGCGCTCCGTGCTGCTGCCACTCCCTCCGGCGGAACCACCCCCGTCCGGTCCGGCTGCACCACGCGTCGACGAACTCCCGCCGGCAGAATCCTCCAGTTCCGGTGTGTTTTCCTTCTCCATGGCGTCGTAAAGGTCCGCCACACTGTAGTCCACACCCTCGACTGTAAACGGTTCAGTTCTGTCACGTGCTAGGGCGACCATGTTGACAATGCCTCGAAACATAAGCAGCGCTTTCGCAGGGATGGCTCCCTCCTCCTCCCCCTCCTCCTGCTCGCTGCCGCGTCCAGATTTGCCTGCGCGAACGCCCGGGTATGAGAAAGCGGCCCAGACAATGAATACGCCTTCGCATGAGATATAGCCTCAGGTGTACGCGCCCAAGTTTGGCAAAAATACATATTCCTAATGACTGTCCTCCACAAAACATCGTTCACCTTACCTTACTTCCTCTGGGCGTGAGAGGACAGAACACCCAAAGATTTACCGTATTGGTCGGTGCACCACCGATTGACTATAATCAAGAAAGCATGCCGTGTGGTACGCTGTGAGTGCCTTCAATATCCTACCTACTGGGGCAAATAAAACAGCTCTCGAGCATGCCGTAATTTACCTTCTACTGTACAAATAGGTTGATTTGAAGCGGGCACTACACGCACACAGCAGTAATTTTGTTTTGTTTCCTCTGCGCACACTGCGTTCAATTGCAGAGTAACTACCTATATTTTGTCGATACTCTGTGTAGTCTGCTGGGACTCTAATCGACGACGAATCTACACAATACCAGCATCTCACCGGCTGCGATAGCATCGAGGTCGTCGAAGTACGGAGATGGCCGTTTCATGTTGGCGTCGAGAGATCGCAGGGCCGCCACCAGGACATCCTTGCTCTTCTGCGACATCCTCGGGACCTTGCGGTGCACGCATGTCCGCTTCAGAAAGTGTGTCCCCCAGTGCGGGTAGTCTTTTTTGGCACTCGCGTGATGGGATGCTGCTGCTTTGTTCTTCCCTACGATGCTGCCGCCGGCGCTCGCCTTCCGCTTGCCGTGGTTTGTGGTCCTCGTGCCCGCTCCCCCTCCCCCGGCCATTGCTTCCCGAATTTCCTTTTCGAACGCGACATCTCCCGACTGTGAGCCAATGTCCGACGGGGCTAAACTGTCCTCTACCGACACATTGCTGCTGCCACTTGACGTCGGGCTGCCCCCCTCCTCGTCGTCATCGTCGCCGCTCTCCTACTCGGTCCAATTTTTTTGTGGGGCGTCGCCAAATCGCTTGTCGTTGATAACCGTTACTAAGGTTGCCTGACGAGCTTGCCGATCAGCGTCGTCCGAGAAGCCCGGCATCATCACCGCGCCAGGTGGAACCCCCTGTTGTGTACCGGTATGGGGGGTAACCCTGCTGTGAACGGCCTGGCGGGCCATGCCGCTCGGTGCCCGCTGTGCCGCGCCAGCAGGCGCGGTCTGGGCGACCCCATGCCCAGCAGCAGCACCACTTTCACCTGCATCCTGCAGTCTCAGAGGCAACGATTTCGCTCTAGATGGCTGACCTGCCGCTGCTACGGCGTTGTTGTTCATGGTGTGGGTTCATCGCGTCTGCTGTGGTATGCCTCGGGCCTCTCGCCTGGTCGTGACCAGTGTGTGTACGTCGGCATCGACGCTTTCCGGGATTTTGAAAAAAAGGCGCGCCTCTGCGATTAGAACCAATGGAAAACCCGGAACCGGTTCCGTGTTAAAAGTTACGAATCGGTGAAAAAGAAAACGGATCGATAAGAACCACCCTCACGAGCTACCGCGATCTCACGACAGCAGTAACTCCCAACCGCCAAACTCAGGATCCCCATCTCAACAGTGCTAGGGACCGAATATCCGTCTTTGCTGGGTGGTCTTCCGAGGTCTAGATCCATTTGCGGAACCTCGGCCTACCCCACGGACGGGGGGGGCAGGCCGGGGAGGAGATATATATGAATCCATGGCGTCAGTGACGGCTACCTATGTTTTCATGATTTCCCGAGTAGCTCCTTAGCCGCCAGCTTTGGTAGGTGTAAAATGAGACTGGACCCTGACGCCCCGGCTTGGACACCGGGGCTATGCAGCAGCAGAGAGCACGGTGAGGGTGGCGGAGTGGCCGCACGCCGTGGGCGTATGCCCCAGAGAGAGGAAAGGAGAGAGTCCAGAGATGGAGGGCCACACCGTTCCGGGACAAGAAAAGTCTATGGGAAATAGGCAAGAACCGGGATAACTGCTGTCACGTTAGCCCGAGTGTTCGCAAGAAAATAGTAAAAAAACAAAAAAGAGGGTAAGATGGAGGAACGGGAGGGGTCGGGCGTCGCGTAGGCTAGCTAAGAGAGCAGCACGCGCCGCGCGAAAGAGCCAGCAGGGGCAACTTCTTAGGGTAGCAACCTGGAATGTGCGGACTTTGGCTGTAAACGGGGCCAATGGATACGGGCGAGCTTACAGCGTTCTACACGAGGCATCGAGACAAGACGTATCGGTGGTAGGAATGCAGGAGACACGGAGGGCAGGTCGAACCGAATTTTGCAGCAGCGGGTTATCGGGTGTTCTGCTGTGGCACGGAGACTGGTGGAGTCCATGGTGTGGGGATAGCCGTCAAAGAGTCACTGTGCAAGACATCCACGTTCACTACGGAGTTTATTGACGAACGCCTTGTGGCCATGAGGTTTCTGTTGGCAGGCCACCGTGGAGCGGTCAACTTCTTCGTAGCCGCGTGTGCTCCAACCGAACCTTCAACCGCCGACAGCAAGCGCGTGTTCTGGGGAAAACTTGACAGTCTCGTGCGGAGGATCCCTTCCAAAGAATGTGTGTATGTCCTACTGGACGCCAACGCGCGGACGGGAGATAGGTTGGACGCAGGGGACGGAAGGGTAATAGGAATGTACGGGCGTGATGAGCTCAACGACAATGGCATGCTACTGTTGAACTTCGCAACGGAAAACAGGCTAGCTCTCACGAACACGTTCTTTGAGACACGCAAGGGCGGAATATGGCCCACATACAACGGTGTGTCGGGAAACGATTGCAAGCGCCTTGACTACATCCTGACAAGGCAGGCACATCACGGCCGAGTATCTAACGTGGTCGCCATCCCCCAGCCGGTTCGCCCAGTCAAAACAGACTCAAACCACAATATGGTAGTAGCCACCGTCAACCTCGGTGCCAGGCTTGCCCACAACCGTGCAGTCCGGACTAAACCGAAACAGAAGCAATTCAACCGTCGGGAATGGTAGTTCGAAGCAGCGCGGTGAGCGGTGACTAATCGGTTCCCCCTCAACCTCGACACACGACTGGACGAGCGAACAACCACCGCCGCGGAATTGGCGACCGACTTTACCAATCCTCTCCTCGACGCAGCGCGGACGACCCTGGGGGAGGAACCGCGGAGACACCGCACGCAGGAGTAGTGTGAGACCCCAGAGACGCGAGCAGCGCTGGAGCAGGCCCTTACCAAACGTCGGGAAGCGCGCCGGGCGATGAGGGGCAACTGGAACTCAGCGACGTGGAGGATTCTCAAAGCAGC